GGCATTTGTTTTCTTGTTTTGTTTCCCTCTGGCTTCCTAATTTAATAAAAAACTCATTGAAGTTTCTGAGTTAAGTGCAATGTCTATCAAAGAGTGCTTTTCATATTCATATTCACCTAGTACATGCCTTTTAAAAATTCTACTCTTCTATTTAGATTATTCCAGCCAACCAACACTGTAATATATGAAATCCCCCGTTTGAAACTAGGCAGAAACATTGTTTCTCATCAATGGTCTCTTATTTTTCATTGTAGCCTCTAACCTGGAATAAGTCCTTACAAGAATAAGGAGGTGAGGTAATGACTTCACTCAGAATTGTGCCTTTATATCATCCCTGCAAGTCAGTTATTTCCCAGAGGCTTGTGCCTTGATCGCCTCAGACTAACTGAGGCTAGTTCTTTCTCACAGGCCCGTTTACATTTCTCTCAAATACAAGGGCTGCAAGAATGATATATAAAAGCAAATTAAGCAAGCAAGGGACAATGTTGACACCCCTTCATGTTCCAAATATGTCAACATTCCAATATGCAATGCCCAAGAGAAGACTTCACTAATGGCCAGAATAGCTCACAAGGGAGCATTGCACTGGGGCCTTGTCTATACTATCGCAGACCGTTGTCCTAAGTTATGCAACTTCAGCTACATGAATTACATAGTTGAAGCTGATGTACTTAGGTCTAGGGATGTAAGCAACTAGTCGAGTGACTATTAGACTACTTGCTTTCTCCCCCCTTTGCTGCCTCTGTATCAGAGGCAGTGGGGGTGGGTGGGAGCAGGAGTCAGTGCTGGAGGGAGCCAGCTTAAAAGTCAGTCCTCCCCAGCATCATCTCTGCGGTGCGCAGTGTGGGGGGCAGGGGAGGCAGAGCCGCAGCGGTCCTGGAACCAGCAAGAGCTGAGACTGCTCAGTCCTGGCTCACAACGGCTCTGAGAGTTAGCCTAAGTGCAGCTCTACAGTTTAAATGAAGTAGGAGCCAGCCTGCCTGTGGGCCCAGGTCCTATTACATTTAAATTGCAGAGCTGCAGCAGGAGTAGCTCCTGGACCCGGTGCGAGCCGTGACAGAGCACCTCCCCTTATCGACTAATCATGCAGTTGATACAAATTGTATCAACTACATAGTTAGCCAATTACCCACTTTTTAACATCCTTACATAGGTCTGCTTACTGCAGTATCTTCACTGTGGTAAGCCAGTAGCTGATGCTCTCCTGTCAACTCTGCTTACTCTTCTTGTTTTGGTGGTATACTGGAGACAACAGGACAGAGCTGAGAATTTGATTTATTGGGTTGATACCAGACATCATAAATCAACCCCCGCTAGATTGATCACTGCCCTGTTGATCCAGCCTGTAGTGAAAATATACATGCCTTGAAATTCTAACATATCCTTTGTGTCCACAAGCATTGGCTCTGCTTCCTTTAATGCAGATTCTGTTGTCATTTACAGCTCTAGTTAGCTCACCAACAACATTGAGTCCCATCCTGTGAATGGAATCTCATTTGCTTGGGTGAAAGGCATGGTAAAACAGATTTTATTTCCGGTGTTTCCTGTTCCAATCTAGAGTTTCCTTCTGCTTATGAGTAACTTGTACACCAGTTTCAGCACCTGTTTTTCTCGCAAATGTTCAAGGCTTCACTCTCTTAGTTCACTAGAAGAGCAGAACACAATGCTGGAGGTCTCTTAAAACAGTGATTTTTCTTTTTTTAGTTTCTTGGCCAGCTGCCTTGACAAATGACATGTAGAAAAAAAATTCATGATTATAGTGATGATCGAGTGTTGGGACCTAAACTATAAGTCTATGTCCCTTTTAACTTAATGCACAAACATCTCAACCAACAGTATGAGTGGGCTGAAATTACTAATCATGTTTTGGCACAGACAAATGAGAAAGGAAACCCAGCG